GCCCTAACTCTATGGGTCCTCTGACCCTAACTCTGTGGACCTTCCGGTCCTAACTCTGAAAACTCTGTAACATACTAGCATATAACACATAGAAATCACATCATGCAAAAGCATACACAATACTCTGTCTCATAGCTCTAATTACCACTCTAGGTAAAGTATAGTGGGAAGACTCACCTCGGGTAACTCGGTAAAGCTCGAACTCTGTAAAGTCGGGTCTAGCCTCCGCCTAATCATATGAAATAAACACTCTGAATCAATACATCTCTCAATATCCCTCCTCTTAGTACTCTCAGAAGGGTAAAAGACCATTTTACCCCTCTCATGGCTCAAAGACCCTAACGTTGACCAAAACCCTAAAAGTCAATAAAAGTCAACGGTCCAACTTTTGACCCGACTCGCCGAGTGCACAAATGTGACTCGGCGAGTTCAGTCGTGAACTCGAGTCCTCTATTCCCCCTCTGACTCACTGAGTCATTCCCCAACTCGGCAAGTCACTCACTGAGTGATTCACGGGAAACCCTAACCCTACTCGCCGAGTCTGCCCTTGGACTCGGCGAGTTCATGTCATGCACCAACTCAAATGACCTCCTGAGGTCAGATCTGTTCCTCTAATCCATAGATCTGGCCTTCCCAACCACTATAATCACGTAAAGTCTCGATCTTGATGCACAAGCAACATTTATATGACCATATATGATGATTTAGCCCCAAATACCTTAACCCAAGGCCATGACCTCTATTGTTCTTCATAAAGCTTGATGAATAAGGCTCTCTGGACCTCTATGGATCCAGATCCAAAGCCTTATCACCAGAAGGGGCTATTTGGACATCAAATCTAACCAACAAAGGGTCTAAGAAACCCTAAATCCATATGATCATCATAAGAACAGAAGGAGAGTCGAATTACTACCTCAAATGTGAAGATCTTAGCTCCAAATCCACAGAATAGCAACCTCCTATGCTTCCTCTTGGCTAGTACCTCCTTCTTCTTGCTAAACAACACTTCCAAGGTCAAGAATGGCTTCCTTTCTCTCTCAAAAACGCTCAAGCACTCTAGGGTTTCTCTCTATGATCTGGTGGCCGCCATTGAAGGCCATAAGGGCCTTTAAATAGGTCCCAAACCCAAGAAATTAGGGTTTCATTAAACAGCGTGGACTCGCCGAGTCCACGTATGGACTCGCCGAGTCCGGTCATTAACCCGGATGGAGATTCACGACTCTACTCGGCGAGTCTGAGCGCCTACTCGCCGAGTCTCTCTCCAAAAACTCAATAAAATACATAATTTAAGATACCTGGGAATCCGGATGTTACAATTATAGTACTGTAGTTTTATATGTAGAAACTACCGTGATACTAATTACCTTAAGGCCATGAATTATAAGGTAAATGTGAAGATACTCGTAACCATACTGATTGACGGATGTAAACACGACGACCTGCTGGCGTCAGAATAGATGTGACATTTGTCACCCCTTGGCTTGGTCTGCCGGGACTGTAGCTAGCAGTCAGGATGTGGGATGGTGTGTCCCATATAGATCTATACACACAATGCCCGCTCTCCCTCCAGGAGACTCTGGTTACCAACTCGACAACGGTGAAATCCGCATCATGAGGATGTATCTCGTGTTTTGATTTCTATATACGTTTCTTTTTACTAAAAGTATATGTTTTAGAATATTGATTTAGCTAGTTTCTCCTCATAAAAGTTATTGTTGATCTCTAAACTATACCTATTATAGTTTACTTGAGAGGTTATCTAGGTACCTTTGCTACCCAAAGGCGTTGAACTGGAGTAAGAGTTTTAATATCTAAACAGATATACATAATATATAACTAGGACTTCAACGACACTCGGACAGATAACCGGATACTCTAAGTCCACAACCAAACAAGGAACATGAATTAAAGCGGGCTATCAGTCCTAAGTCCTTCAAACCCTGCTTATATAACTATATCTATATAGACATGAATCTAACAAGAATATAGGTTTAAAAGACTTTGATATAAGTCATAAATCGGATGTAACATCCTTCACTCGAGCGGCATTTAATCGTGATAAGCAGATTAATAAGGGATCACCTCATAACATGTTAATATTGCATGAATTTTCCAAGGCTTGCAAAAGGGACAACCCACATGCTAATAAGTTTGCCAAAGGGAGACAGACGAAACTATACAAGATAGTTCAATAGGGCCAGGAACAATATTATGGTGCAACAAAAGACAACCAACAGTATCATTGTCAACTAAGGAAATAAAGTACAAAGCAACGGCTGCAATAACTTAGGAAAAACAAAGCATGTAGCTGAGAGATAGTTATAAAGGAAGATATTGAGATGCGACATATAAAGACTGATGATCAAGTAGCATATGAAGCTCACAAAGGGTTGAGTGCTGGAAAATATGAGGGGTTTCGTTGTTAGGTCAATATGGTACAAAGAATGGGGGCTAGTGTTGAAGGGGAGTGCTAAAAGGTCATCACTAGCCCAGTAGAACCAATATTATTATCTAGAAGAAGTTAGCTTGTTGCAGAATGCTCTGGAAGATTCTAGAGCATTATGGAAGACTCTAGAATACATCAAAAGACTCTAGAATACTCTAGAACGACATGGAAGACCCTGGAAGGTTTAGGAACATCCTAGAAGACATTAGGAAGTCATAGACTTCTCTAGAACATGGTAGAACATTCTAGAAATATATGGAAGCTTATAGAGTATGATATATGGTTCTAGAATTATCTAGAAAGTAGTAACTGTATACTAGTATCTAGAAACTTCCTTAGAGGCATATAACTAGGTGTGTAGCTCATTTGCTCCAAACAATCCCAACATCCAAGTATCCAAGAAACACTCAAAGAAATCAAAGTGTAGTAGTCTCTCAAAGTGTAAGTTCTTCTTAAGTGGTCTTAATAAAAGTATTATTGTTTCCCATATAAAGACTCGTGTTCAACAGATGATGGGTGGAGAGGATCACCGACGTGCAATGATGGCGGAAGGAAGGGAGAAGTGAAGAAATTTGGGGCCTTTTTTATTTTATTTATTTATTAATAATACATTCTTATCCATTTTTGGTAAATAGATTTATAAAAACCGGTAAATATTTTTTTAAACTATAATGCTGATGTTAAAAACTCTAGAAAATTGTTTCAAAGACTTCTTTATATTATTAAGCTAATTTGAAGTTTACAACATAACTTGCTAACATAGCAAAATGTTACAAAACTTTTAAAACTTTAATATTTGTATGATATTTACTTATGTTAACGTAGAAAGATCAAACCTGTACAAGAATAAGTGATGCAGAAGAAACACTATATTAAACTCTTGATAACTTTGAAATCTTCAATATGTTGTAATATCTTCATTCGCCTACAATTACCAGATTCTTCAAAAATCCATCGTGTCTTCCACATTTCACTCCTAAAACGTGCTATTGGAAATCACGAGGCCAAACCATCCCTTCCCTCAGGCTTGAAATGGACCTAACCAACAACCCTAACCCACTTAAGGATTTGGCTACAAGCACAATCAACAAAAAAGGATTCCCAAGTTGAATAATGGCTTGTTCAATGGGACAACCAAACCGTTTCAAAAGAAACCGAGCAGGACACTTTCATTATACATGCATCTTTCCGTAGCTTTAGGCTTAGGACAAGCCAAATCTTCAACACGCCGGCATTGATAAAGAACAGACATTTACTTCTACCTAGCCCATTGTGCCCAAGCCTTGGAAGGTTTATTCTCACAAAAAGAAAGTGAATAAGTAGCTGGATAGGTGTTGGGCGATGATGAAATTTGTTATTACATCATTTTTTGAGAGTATTATATGTTGTGGTGAATGTACGAATAATGATTACGTTAGAGAGATAATATTTTTATGATATGAAGGATCGACTAATCATTAACTTGGGTAGGAGGGGTAACCATTAGTTCCCTTCTCTAAAATGCCGGTTTGTAATTCGCACTTTTATACAAGAAATTATAAAGCATTCAACCTTGAATTTGTTCTTGTTTATTTGATCAGTTTGCTATCTTTCTGTTATTCTTCCTGTCAAACAATATTAAGGGTTCATTTATTTTTTGTAATCAATTCGAAAAGAGATTAATGAGAGAAAATAATAATTGTTCAGTTGAATGCAAAAACAATTACTATTACTTTTGTTATTTTAGGTTAAATAAATAAAACCATGACTTTATCATTAATAAAATGAGAATTGAAAATAGAGACTTTCCTAATATTTCCCATTAAATACATATAAAAGAAAATTGTTATTTTTTCTTAATTTCTACTATTCGGGGTCTCATTTTTGTAACCAAGCGGATCAACAATCTGCTTTATTAATTCGTTTTATGTCCAAACAATCCAAAAAGTCTAAATATCCAAACGGTATAATACTATAATCAAATCAAAAAGTGAACAACCCTTTCTGTCATAGACAAAGAAATACGGGTAAATTGCAAGTTCTTGTGTTTACATGTAGATTACATGAACAGAGAGAGCCATCATGTTAATACTTTTAATTTTGTTGGTCCAAATAGCCGCGATGTTACATTCTTCAATGATATGAGCTTGAACTTGTGCACATTTATTAATCAATATAGAAAATTGGATTTGAGCACCAAAATAGTATCTACTTTTACACTTATCTTCAAATTCTCCTATAAGTTATAATTGACCATGGTGCATTAATAATCTCAGGGGCTCTAAAAGTGAAGAGAATTTTAGCAGGTACCAAAGGAAATGACTATAATACTGCACCGATAAAAAGGCGCCATCATCTCAATCATAAAAAGGCTAAGAGATAAAATCAAAAATTGGATATGAATTAAGCCATATGCATTAGCCACACATTTCAAAGCAAAGGACTACAGCATATCACATAAAAGGGAGATAGATATAAATGATAGTTGTGCCCCTGATAATGAGAACATAAATTGCAAAATCCAAATTCACCACCAATGGTTCCTGACATATGCAAAAATAAGAGAGATAATAAGTCATGATGACTCATCTAAGAGATTGACATTCAAACATTCATGAGGGAAATACCACCCGTCGTTTGCAGGAAAAACCCTGACATGTCCACCTTCATTAGCAACATAATTTCTCGGGTACTGTGACCAAGGCTCAGCCCACAACTCTGGTTTCACAGCAGCACTATGACCCGCTTGGCTGATAAAGAAACCATGTTTGTTTCCTGTATCTTGAAAAGGCACCCATTCCATTTCACCAAAGTCTAGTTTATAAACATTGAAGTCGTCTTTGAATAATCCTTCCTTCAAAAACATGTAAAGGTTTTCACCACAACATACAAGTTGCAGGGAAAATATGTTCCGATCATACAGAAGATTGTTGGTTTCCAGTATTGTCACTGTCACTCTGAGCTCAGGATTGAATGTGAGTTCACATAAATGATAATTCTTATAGTTTAAAGTATATATCTTCCCCTTAGAAACATGTAAATCCTTATAAAAGGTGAAGTCGAAAGTGGAGACACAATTCCATGCTCCCTCATCCTCTATAGAAAACCATATTTGCTTCTTGGCTAACATAACAAACACCAATTTAGATATTGAAGGTGAAAATACAAGGACAGAAGCAATGCCTGATACATAATCAGTCTCCCAAGGGGCAGGAGGGAAAAAAGTTCATGACTAGTGAATGGATTCACAAGCCGGAAGTCCTTGGTTTTTATCCTGAACAAGATCAAGTAACCACAAGTAAATCCACAACAGTACATTCCAGCAGAATGCGTTAGTGTGGTTTTGAACTTTCTTCGTTCATGGTCCTCTAGGCAGCATTGCCAATCCTTATTAATACTATCAGAGATATTCATCAGCATTGGTGGTTTGGATGCCATAAAACTTTTCCTGTTACTGAGTGCTACTGATCTCCATGACTTGCAGACACCACTAAAAGCAACAAAATCGATGACCCCCAGTTTCATCATAACTAATAAAAGCATGTCATGATTGAGGTATGACCAAAATCGCACATCATCAGTCTTGATAGTCTTGCTGTTAGATGCATCATCATCATTATGGTTTCTAGTCTCTCTCCTTGTCATATCCATTCCTAAGCTTGCAAAAGACAAAATAAACATTCTTGGTAAAATGCAAACTGCACGTAGTCTTACAACGCTTGTAAACAGAAAAAGAGAAAACAATCACAAAAATGAACAGGATCCGCAAGTGATAACAAACACAAATAAAACAAGCACAAAAATGAACAGGATCCGCAAGTAATAACAAACACAAAATAATTACAGACTACATCATATACAATGTAATTAGCAGTTCTACAATGATAAATGCTCTTAACAAGAAAGGGTAGATCAGCTATTCAGCCACATGGTAAAAATGTTCCTTTATGAACCAAAAAGAAGGTTCTGACTACAGCGATATCTTTCTTTACCCTAAGGCTTTTTCCTGTGTTTATGCTTCTTGTAATCCGAAGCAACAATACCAAATTCAAACAAACCCTATATCACTTATAAGAAACACTATATCAATTATCCAACTATCATAAGACATCATATATAATCAAAAAAACTTAAAAGACCAAATAATCACACAATCAAAACATTTCAGGTAACATGAATACTTATCACAACAAACGAAACTCAAATTAGTAAACAGTTCAAAATGCATTTCATGAAACACATAAAGATAACCAAATCGTCTAAACTAACCTGACTGACGCCCGATCAAATAAACTCCGATTTGAAAGAGAATCAAAAGATCCAGGGTGAGGGTGAGATAGCGTGGCAAAAGGGAATAGCGAATACCGCACGAATGTTTTGGGAGTTCGTGTGCTAGGCTCTTTTAATTTTGTCTGCGAATTTTGTGTTCGTTAAATTAAACTGAACTAAGGAGTAAATTACATATAAGGAGTAAATTACATATTTGATCCCATGGCTTTCCAAATTTCACAACTTTGGTCCTACTATTGGACTTTGACTTGGTTTGGACTTGTGGTCCATAGTCCTAAAAAAATCATCTTACCCTTTTTAATATTTTTTATTATAAGCCATAAAAACTGTTTTTCCGTTCTTTTTTTTTTGTCTGTGACATTAATCATTTTCATCGGTCGTCATACAATATCACTCACGTTTTACTCACGTTTTACAATATCACCTCCACCAAACCACGCACACCTATCTTATGTTATCTTCACGGAGAGGAGACGGAAGGTACCTGCCAAAAAGGAATGTAGAGGCAATAGGGGAATAAGTATTTGAATTATCTGGGCATTTTCTTTTAAATTTATTTCTCCCGGGAGCATCTGATTCTCAATAAATATACTCAATTATAGTTATATTATTCATATAAAGTTGTTCATTTTTTTTATAGACATTGCATTTGGAGCAATATAGATTGAGTTGTTTATTATAGCATCCTATTTTGAAGTACATTGCTACTTTTCTCTAAAGTTTTAATTGAAGTATAGTATTTGCAAAAAAAAAAACAAACAAACAAACAAACAAACTACCAGATGATTTTAGTTTTTATCTTATTTACTAAGAGATTGTATACTCTAATTTTTAAAATAATAATAATAGTAATAGATTAACACAAATGAAACCACACAAAAAATCTATTGAAGCTTTGTTATTCAATACCTTCTTTAAAACATCAGATGTCAAAGAAAAAAAAAAAAAAAAAAAAAGAATTGTTATCACCGACTTGGTAGCTTCTTGATTATGAGAGTGTATCAAAAAGCTATTTGTCATGTATAACTAAATTACATATAAAATGACCGTACCATCATGTTAAAAATGACATAGCAACAAAAACACTTGGCACAAAATCCTAAAGAAATCATCGTTTTAGATAAATGTATTGAAAGTGCAATATGATTTTGAATAAAATGATTTCGAAAACCATAAAAAGATGAAACTTTCAGTTATTCATATAGACAATCTCACCTGTGAAATCAAGACTAAGTAGTTAAACCATTCAGGCACCAATATCATAGGAGCAATATCATAATACTCGACACAAAATAGCATGTTCTTCCCACAAATATAAACACTTCTTTCATATATTTAAACCATTTAGACATCATATCATAATACTCAATAATCACAAAATCCACAATATATAACCCTTCTTAAATTTAACAAAAGCATTCGAATATTATACTTTAATAAAAAGTTATCATCTTGAAGTGACTGGCTTGCAACTGCATCAGGCTCCACCTCATATGCCTGCAAAGAGTAAATTTCATCTCATCATTTATTTGATACAACACTTTATTCAGACATAACTTAACGAACAGAAAAGGAAACAAAGTTTTACTCTTATTAGACACCCTAGTTATAACTCTAATGTTCCTTGCTTGTTTCATATGATAAGAATTTGTTTTCCCGAAATTAGAACAAATGAATTTAAAACATAACCAAATTTTGTTTTTTTTGGAAAACTTGAGTAATTTGCCTACATAAAAATGACAGCTAACACTAAGTATCAATAAGGGCAAAAGCGTCAAAGATGTTGATTTTCAACTTTAAAGTAGGCTTATGGGTAAACACGGTTGAAACATCAAATACGTTGGCCAAATAAAAAATGGAAAACTACAAAAAGAATATCATTTTACTTTGAGAAATTTTCCGGTTAACTACTTATATTTTATTTTTTCCAATTAAATCAAGAACATTCGATATTTTCCCAAATTAAAATTTGTAACCAGAGGTCAAAATTGAAACTTGATGTTAAACTGGTTAATGTAAAAAATCACCAGCGAGTGGTTGAGGTGCCCCAAAAACACAACAAATTAATCGGGAACAACCCCAATATGGACAAGATAAACACTATTTCTATTTTTGAAAAAAATGGACAACACAACTGCAAAAATAAGCTTAATTAAGGTATGAGATATAAACGTTAATTGGTACACAAAAATAGGCTAATTAAGGAATATCTATATAGGTTACGAAAGCTTGACCAAGATACATTATTTTTGTTATCCTTTATCATGGCATATACTCTAGTAACCACGACGTGTCAAGGGCATTACCTCACGTTCAGTCTGTTGTTTAAATCAAGATATCCCTTCGTTTTCGAAAGTACGTCCAGATAATTTGATAACAACCATAGCTATGAGCAAGTTTGTACACATACTTATGCATGGAACTCAAGTACTCAACATACTTTTCTCTTTTCAAATCATAAACTGTATAAAAGAACATGTCAATTCAATTCTTAAGGACAAGTCAGCACATTTAAACACTATTAACGATGGTTACACAAATAAGTAGGCACTCCTTGATATATCAAGACACAGTTGTATGTTTGTGACCAATATTCAAAAAATTAACGAATACTACGAGATAGTTTTGAGTTGAAGGACCACATACATTCAAGATGAGAGACCAAAGCATAGATTCAATAGTTCCTTTCGGAAAATAAAAAAAAAAAAAAAAAAAAAAAAAAAAAAAAAGGCATTTTAACAGACAACCTAACTCCCATGCATAAAAAGAACATACATACAAAGCAAAATTAGGCCAAAAGTCTTAAAACACTTAAAGTCCTCAACCAAGAACACAAAGAAACACCAAAATGATCGGATGACACTAAAACTATTGTTAGTGACTGTCACCTAAAATCACTAACAAGTAGCTTGTCATACAAGGAAACTTTCTTGTTGCAAAATATAGTTGTTCAGCCTCTTCGGACTCTAATAAGCTATAGCTGAACCACAATGACAAAATCACAAAAATGGCATTCTAGTGAAGGGACATGGTATTGATGGCATTCACCATATGGTATGTTAATAATCTCTAGGATTTTCAGCAGGTATCAGAAAAAAGGACTATAACACCCCATCCATAAAAAGGCACCATCATCTCAATCATAAAAAGGCTAAAAGATAAAACCAAAAACAATGTATGAGTTAAACAAGATGCATTAGCCACACATTTCAAAGCAAAGGGCACCAGATCACATAAAAGATATGAATGTGTACTTGATAACAAAAACACAAATTGCAAAAACCAAATGTACCAACATATGCAAAGATCAATAGATCATAAGAGTGGTAAAAAGTCATGACTCGTCTAAGAGATTAACATTCAAACATTCATGCGGGAAATACCACCCCTCACTTTCAGGAAAATATCTACCATGTCCACCTCCATTACCAACATCATATCTTGGGTAGTGTGACCAAGGGTCAGCCCACAACTCTGGTTTTACAGCATCAATATGATCAAAAACGTAGCCCACAAAGAAACCATGTTCCTCTCCTGTATCTTGAAAAGGCACCCATTCCATTTCACCAAAGTCTAGTTTATAAACATTGATCACATCATCACATATTGAGCAATCCATCATATAAAGGTTTTCACCACAACTTCCAAGCTGCGGGAAAAATAGATCCTTATCTAACACAAGATGCTTGGTTTTGAGTAACGTCACTTTGGGCTCAAGATTGAGTGTGAGTTCACATAAATGATAATTCTTATAGTTTAAAGTATATATCTTCCCCTTAAAAACATGTAGATCCTTATAAAACTGAAAGTCAAAAGTGGAGACACAATTCCATGCTCCCTCATCCGCTATAGAAAAGCATATTTGCTCCTTGGCTAAGATAACAAACACCAATTTAGATATTGAAGGTGAAAATACAAGAACGGAAGTGAAGCCTAATACATAATTAAACTCCCAAGGGGCAGGAGGGAAAAAAAGTTCATGTCTAGTGATTGGATTCACAAGCCAGAAGTCCTTATTGGTTTTAATCCTCAACAAGATCAAGTAACCACAAGTAAATCCACAATTGCACATTCCAGTAGAATGCGTTAGTGTGGTTTTGAACTTTCTTCGTTCATGGTCCTCTAGGCAGAATTGCCAATCCTTATTAACACTATCAGAGATATTCATCAGCATTGGTGGTTTGGAAACCATAAATCTTCTCCAGTTACCGAGTGCTACAGATCTCCATGACTTGCAAACTCCACTGAATGCAACAAAATCAACAACTCCCAGTTTCATCATAACTAACGAAAGCACATCATGGTTGAGATACGACCAAGGTCCCACATCATCAGTTTTGATAGTCATACTGCTAGATTCATCATCATAACTCATGATTATGGTTTCTACTCAGTCTCCTTGTCGTAGCCACTCCTACACTTGCAATAGACAAAACAGACATTGTTGGTAAATGAAAATTTCCACATAATATAAGATTGGTAAACAGAAAAAAGGATAAAAACAAGCAAAGGGATGAACAGTATATACAATCTGATTAGCTGTTCTACAAGAAAGGGTATATCAGCCTTATGGTAAAAATGTTCGTTTATGAACCAACAAAAAATGTTATGTCGATGCCTTCTGTAATCAGAACCACATGAAGCTAAAACATCAATTATCCAACAATCATAACCCATATTGATCAAAAAAGCTTAAAAACCAAATGATCATCAAAACAATTCAAGTAACATGGACACTCAACACAACAAACGAAATTCAAATTGGTTAACGATACAGAATGTATTTCATGAAACATAAAAAGATAATCAAATCAACTAAACCAACCTAAGTGACGTTTCCCAATCAAATGAACTCCGATTTGCCAAAAAAATCAACAGAACTAGGGTTAAAACTTAGATGCGTGATAAAGGAAACAGAGTCCCTTTCGAAAACAAAGGGAAACAGCGAATGAACCGAGCGAATGGTTTGGGGTTTGTGTGCCAGGGATGTTTTTGTATGCGAATTTTGTCTTTGGTATACTAAACTAAGGAGTAAATTAATCATTTAGTCCCCCTATGATTTTCCCTAATTCATAACTTTGGTCCTTATATTGGACTTTATTAATTATTTAGTCCCCATATGATTTAACCTAATTCATAACTTTGGTCCTTATATTGGACTTTGACTTGTCTGTCCTTGTATTTGTTGCACTTGTGGTCCCTGATCCATAGGAAAAGATCATCTTACCCTTTTTAATATTTTGTTTCTTTTTTCCTTTTACCTATTTACATATTCTAATAATAAAAAAAAAGAGAGATCAAATATTATCTTATTTTTTTTCCTACTTATCCTCCTACTCATACAATTGTCAAAATCAATTTAAAAGATTAAGCAAAATTATTATTAGATTTCACATGTCATCATTTTATATGAGTAGTAAGAAGATATTTAATTTTTCATAAAAAAAAAATAGAAAAACCCACCCGACCTCGCAAAAAAAATCATCAGCTTTTAACTCCTCTCCTTGCTATCGGGTCTTTGACAAACAAAAACCTCACTCATCACGAGAGAGAGAGAGAGAGAGAGAGAGAGAGAGAGAGAGAGACGAGGCAAACAAAGACCATGCTCGTTGATGACAAGCAAAATGACTAAGATTTGGAATGAATTCGAGGCAAACTTTAATCTCCCCATAGAATTCATCATTTATCACCATATTGGGTGGTGTTGGTGAGATATTTTCCTTCCATGAATAATGTATCTCAAGTGTAATTATGCATTCATAACTAACATCAAAGCTTAAGGCATGCAAAATGTTTTTATTATGTAATTAGCCTGGTTCACAAGATCACATTTAGAACCAATATCACCATTATTTTATCTTGTTCATGTTGTCTCATACCAAACGCAAGTTAAAAGAGACTTGTTATGTAATGTCTAAGCATGTATCCCATACCAAATGCTACCATACGTCTTTGTTTGGGATTATTTATAAGGTGTCTTCAAGAGATGAATGCTCTTAACAAAGAAAGGGTATATCAACCTCATGGTAAAAATGTTCGTTTATGAACTAACAAAAAACGTTATGTTGATGCCTCTTTTTTTTTCTTAAACGGCTGCAAATTTTATAGACACGCTCTAGCGAATTGCTAAAGAGAAATAAAAATACATTTACAAGGGGCAAATCATCAAAGCATTCCAATTTATATCAAAATTGGAAGCTCGGTTATACAACAAAGAAAAAGTGTAAAGAATAATAGAATAAAAAATGGAGTTCTTGCTCATTCGAGTTGTGTCTCCTTCAAAGACTTGCGAGTTTCGAAATCTCCAAATCATCCATGTAGTAGCCACAATAACCTCCAATTTAACATTTGGCAAAGCCTTCATATGTCGATGCCTTCTTGTAAACATAATCTTACAAGTTCGTTTATGAACTAACAAAAAACGTTATGTTGGCTTCGTCCACCCATAAGGATTACAACGATGTTCTTCTTATTTCGATGAAACAAAATAAAGGGTTCTTATTATTTTCATAATCAACAAGAAAAGAGGTTAAGGAGCAAAAGAAAAATTGTTGGGTTAAATGCAAGAAATCCTATGACTTTTGTCATTTTATGTTAAAAGAAACCACAAGTTATTATCATTAATAAACGACAAAATTGCAAATGTGGTCCTTGTGGTTTGTTGAAAGTTGTCAGGTTTGTCCAAAAAGTTTTGGATTAGCACTACTAGTCTAAAAAGTTACTTTTCTTGCGGTTCTGGTCCAAATTTTTTTTGAAAAGAAAATAAAATGACGATTATGCCCTTGATGTTTTATTTTTTTGATTTATGTTATTTACTTTTCAACTTTTCTAATTAAAAAAAAAACAAAAAAAATTATATCTACCCTCCTACTAATCCACCCAACCACCTCACTCTTTAATAAATTGACCACTTTGACTCCTGTCACGACCATCACTACCTATCAGACCACCACCATCTTACCAGAACTGCCATTATCGCTAGAGCACCACCATCTTGACGTTTTCAGGAGCAACACCTTCTCCCCGGATCGTGAAAGATGAAGAAATATTGTTCTAGATTTTGTAACAAGGAGGTTGGTGACGAAAGAGGTTTGACGATGTAGATTTGAATCCGACGAATAACACATACCGAAGATGGCAACCGTTAACCAATATTATAACTCAAAAACCCTAGCATTATCTAGCGTCGTAACTTGACAAACATGGTGAAACCCTAACATTATCTGGCGTTGTGTCGTCACCGCCTCTTCAAACTCATTGTCTGCGCAAAACACCGGTGGTGATCAATAGGTGGGGGTAGGGAAGTGAAGGCCACTGCTCTGACGATCGTCCAGTAGTGAAGGCAACAGAGATGAAAGGGAAGAAGGTATAGGTGTTGAAAGATATGGGTTGAGTAGGTGGGATACGGATCAGATGGTTTCTTTTTGTCTTTTTTTTTTTTTAAATTAGAAAAATGTTAAAGTGATTAAAAATATGGAAAAAGAAAATACGAAGGGAAAATCTGTCATTTTAAATATTCAAACAAAAAAAAAATCAGACCAAAACTACAACAAAAACTTATTTTGGACCAAAGTGACAATTTTCGACAAAAATACAGGGACTATTTTTCCAATTTTGTCTTAATAAATTGACAATATATGGACTTTTTTAAATATATCTCATTAAATGCATATATATATATATATATATATATATATATATATATATATATATATATATATTAAATGCATATATATTGTCTTCTGGCTATCCCTATAGATGGGCTTGGCCAACACATGTCTCCCGTGGAGTATCATACTATTCTCAAATATCGACTCATGATTCCCATTTTCCCAACTGACGAGATATGTCCTGTGTGTCGCAAGGCATGTTTGGACTCCTTTGGGGAGCATGCAGTTCACTGTAAAGAACTCCCGGGGTTCAAATACAGGCACGATATGGTTAGGGATGTCTTGTTTGACATATTTAAGCGTGCCGGGGTTTCCGCTAAGAAAGAGGCACCTGTTAATTTCTTGACTGACCCAACAGAAGGAAGGTCCACCCTCAGACCGACTGACATTTTGATTTTTGGATGGGTCGGAGGGAAACACGCATGTGTGGATCTTACAGGGATATCCCCTCTCGTGGGCCTGAGGGCTGGGGGTTTCACAGCGGGACATGCTGCTTTAAAAGCAGTCACAAGCAAAGTCACCAAACATGAGAGATCATGCCTGGAAAATCAACACGTGTTCATACCATTTGCATTTGATACGTTTGGTTTCCTCGCACCGGATGCGGTAGAGCTTCTTAAAAGAGTACAACGAATCATGTATAGTAATGTTATATCCCCTAGATCTTCGGATGTAGTCTTTAAAAGAATTAGCTTTACCATTCAAAAAGGCTTAGCGGCACAGTTTGTTGCCCGTTTGCCATCTCACTCATTGTACGATGACAATTAATATAATTTTTAACAATTTGGAGACAAATTAGGTTCTCATTTTTGAAAAGAAACCAATCAACAATCTAGTTTACTAAGTTGTTTTAGGTACGACCCAATCCAAAAGTCACATACCAAACCAAATTGGATGTAAGCACCAAAACAACATCTACTTTTACACTTAACTTCAAATTCTCCAATACGTTATGTCTAAACTACAATAAAAAGGAAGAAATTCTAGTGACTAGCCGTGGTTGGCATTGACCATGGTGCATTAATAATCTAAGGGGTTCTAAAAGTGAAGAGAATTTTAGCAGATATCAAAGGAAATGATTATAATACCGCACCCATAAAAAGGCACCATCATCTCAATCATAAAAAAGCAAAGAGATAAAACTGAAAATTGTATATAAATTAAACCATATGCATTAGCCACACATCTCAAAGCAAAGGACGAGGATTAAAACAAAAACGTAAATCGCAAAATCCAAATTCACTATCGATATGGTTCTCAACAAATGCAAAAAAGGTTAGAGTGATAACATGTCATGATGACTCATCTAAGAGATTAACATTCAAACAATCATGTGGGAAATACCACCACTCATCTGCAGGAAAAAACCTGCCATGTCCACCTCCATTAGTAACATAATATCTCGGGTACTGTGACCAAGGCTCGACCCACAACTCTGGTTTAACAGCAGCACTATGACCCGCTTGACTCATAAAGAAACCATGTTCCTCTCCTGTATCTTGAAAAGGAACCCATTCCATTTTGCCAGAGTCTAGTTTATAAACACTGATCACATCTGCATATGCTGAGCTTACCGTCACATAAAGGTTTTCACCGCAACTTACAAGCTGTGGAAAAAATATGTCTGACTCGTGCTCGGGCTCATCCAGAAGAATCTTGGTTTCGAGTAACGTCACTCTGGGCTCAGGATTGAGTGTGAGTTCACATAAATGATAATTATAAGAGTTTAAAGTATATATCTTCCCCTTAAAAACATGTAAATCCTTATAATAGGTGAAGTCGAAAGTGGAGGAAACACAATTCCATGCTCCCTCATCCTCTATAGAAAACCATATTTGCTTCTTTGCTAACATAACAAGCACAAACTTAGATATTGAAGGTGAAAAGACAAGAACGGAAGTGATGTAATCATCAGGAGCGGGAGGGAAATTAAGTTCACGTCTAGTGATAGGATTCACAAGCCAGAAGTCCTTTGTTTTTATCCTGAACAAGATCAAGTATCCACAAGTTAATCCAATACAGTACATTCCAGCAGAATGTGTTAGTGCGGTTTTGAACTTTCTTCTTTTATAGTCCTCTAGGCAGAATTTCTTATCCTTATTATTTACTACGGGGAGGGATCCACATCAGCATTGGTGGTTTGGATGCCATAAAACTTTTCCTGTTACTGAGTGCTACTGATCTCCATGACTTACAAACACCACTAAATGCAAGAAAATCGATGACTCCCAGTTGCATCATAACTAATAAAAGCACATCATGATTGAGGTATGACCAAGATCCCACATCATCAGTCTTGATAGTCTTACTGCTAGATGCGCCATCTTCATTCTGGTTTCTAGTCATAGTCATTCCTAAGCTTGCAAAAGACAAAATAAACATTCTTTGGTAAAATGCAAATTGCACATAATCATACAAAACTTGTAAACAAAGAGAAAACGTGCACATAAATTAACAGAATCTGCATATGAAAACAAACACAAAATATCTACAGACTACAGCATATAAAAATCTAATTAGCAGTTCTACAGATGAATGCTATTAATAAAGAAAGGGTAGATCAAGTATTTAGCCACATGGTAAAAATGTTTTTTCATATCTCAATGTTTCTTGTAATCAGAAGCAAAATACAAAATTCATATAAATCATGTATTCATATAATAACTTTATTACTTGTTCTCAACTAGTGTTAATGCGTTATCTTTAAAGCTAATATGAATCAGTTTTTTGATGTAAAATTACGGTTAAGAATAAACTAATAGATGCTGAATGCACATGAAGGAGCACAAGTCGACATCATTGATAGATTGCCAACACACCATTTGGATTGGTCTGTTCTGGGGTAACATCTAATCACCCTGAAACGAAGGTATTAATGGATCAAGATTGTATTTTTATTACTTATTATCAGTAGCATCTATTTACCACTTTTCTTGAAAATATCATCTTAATTGATCTAGTTGATCAGAAACCTTGCAACAGATTGTCATCAACCAATTTTCACGGGTTGCACATAATGAACAACATAAAACACATAGATATTACACAATATTAACACAGAAATCGTACATAAGCATACACTTGTAACAACACAGCAAGAATAAAATCAATAACAAGCCCTACATCGATCTTGACAGAATTTCAGACAAGAAATAGATACCAAACCAAATGTTGACAGGAATTGGATACCAGACCAGGAATTCAGCCAGGATTCAGATTAACTGATGTGCTTTAAACACTAATTAGACACTAATCGAACAACTAATTGCAACTGCGTCATCAAATCCGAAAAGCAAAAAGAAAGTGACTTACCAGGAGATTGGAGAAGGCAAGACTGTAGCTGGTGCGCCGCTGATTGGAGGTGTGGTGAAGGGTGGGAGATAAATTGCAACTGTCGACTTCTCGTGAAGAAGAAGCGTGGAGTCTGCTTTGGACGAGGGGACTGTGAACGAGGGATAGGTTTTGGGGTATTAATGTAATTTACCTTAATAAGTTATGAAAAACTGTGTTTCGAAGGGTTTTAAAGAGTTTCAAAAAGCCATTTTCTATAAGCACTTATCAATATCCAAATTCCAAAACCTTTTAATTTAGGGATAATGACCGGAAAGGTAATGGATTTTTTATTTTGTTCACATTTACTCGCTAAACTTTTTTTCGTTATTTATTTATCACTTAACTATTGAAATTGTTCACATTTTACCTTTATGACCGGTAACAACCGGTCATAAGCGTAAAATTCGAACAATTTCAATAGTTCAGTGGCAATAGATAACGAAAAAAAGTTTAGTGATGAAATGTAAAAAAAGTTGAAAGTTCGTTTCCCTCTCAAATTATCCTAATATTATATCCCGAAAAAGATATAAAAAACGAATTGTTTCATCACGCTCCTTAAGTTGTTCCTAATTATTTCTAGTTATTAAGGGCTACCCAAAAAATATGTTGTTTTTAGTTCATAAAGTTATATCAATTTAGTTTTGACCTTAGACACCTAATCTAACATTATTGGCTACCAATAGGGTGTTTTGATTCTATCGGAATATCGATGCTCAACTTCATGTTTGAGCTGATTGAAGTTAATTTGAAATCTTTATAAAGACGACATCCTTAATGTAATCCAATAGTTATTGATAACAGATTTAAAATTGATGTTGCCGCTTAGTTTCATTAAAGAATCAACTTCTTTTCCTCTCTCAGATGTTGGTTAGTCCGTTGGACAGATTCAGTTTATATTTGACTCTGTGTGTTTCCTGTATAAAACTGGTCAAGAAAAAGCTATTTTGTGTATGTTTAAAGTAAAAATATCATATTTTTCTTAAATGAAAATAAGACGCTTTAAACTCACAGACAATTTAATACTATACCATTTTATTTTTAAAATACAATCGTTAAAACGAAAAAAAATTAAAATAAAAAATTTCTAACTAGCGAGGGATAATTCCTATAATAACTTTTTACATACGATGTTACTTTTGAAACTGTAATATAATATGAACCATTTATGTATCTATATATTTGACCGTATGTATGTGTTTGACTGTATGTATGTTTTCAACTTTATGTATGTATATGTTAACACAAGTTACATAAGAAAAATTAAAAAGAGTAATAATATTAAAAATAATTCTAAATATATGTTGTGTGTAATATGAAAATTTCAATATCTTTTTTAATAGTAAATATACTAATATGATGTATGTCAATACATGAAGTATAACAACATATATAATGTATCAATGTATGTATCTATTCTTTTATAAACAACATATATGGTTTAATGTATGTCAATTTATATGTTGCATAATTTTATAACACAAAATTCATACAAATATTAGGATAATTTTTATACATATAATATTGTATAGTTTTATAACATAAAACTTATACATATAATATTGGTTTCGTTTTTCCTTTTTTTTATATACCTTTTTCGGGGTATAATATTAAGATAATTTGAGAGGGAAACGAACTTTCAACTTTGTTGACATTTAGTCACTAAACTTTTTTTCATTATCTATTTGCCACTAAACTATTAAAATTGTTAGCATTTTACCCTTATAACCGGCTGTTACAGGTTATAAGGGTAACATATGAGTAGTTTCAATAGTTCAGTGACAAATAGATAATGAAAAAAGTTTAGTGATTACATGTGAATAAAGTCGAAAGTTTATTACATTTTCAAGTCATTATCGCTTTAATTTATAGGCAGGGGCGGCCCTATAGGGTACGGGTTTAGATCACTACTCCATTTCGGTTATATATATATATATATATATATATATATATATATATTCTATCCGTCTCAAAATTATTGTTTACGGACAAAAAACATACAGATTAAGAAAACATTAAATACTTCTATTTTTTGTTGCATTTAATTCTATCTTTTTATTGTATTTAATTTTATGATAGGTTAACCAAAAAGAAAAATGGACTATTAATACGGGACAAAGATAGTATTGTATTTAATTCCATATTTAGACATATTTAATTCAAAAAGGTAAAAATATTGATGAAAACAATGAAATTTTTACTATTTTCTACATGCTACAGTTTATCATTTTTTTTATTTATTTTATATTATAGATAAAAATTTTGTATATATAAGTAGCCTAAATTATAAAATCTCATGAGTATTTACAAGCGTCAAATGTACCACAAAATATTTTTTATTATTATGGCAAATAAAAGAGTGTCACTAAAGTCTTAAAGTGTGTAACTAAAAGTAGCATGAACTTTTAAATTGAATGAGGATTCAACGGCACAAAATATGTACCACAAAAAACTTTTATTCCGCTGTGACAAATAAAAAAGTGTCACTAAAAGCCTAAATACCTGCAGCGATAAAAACTAAAAGTGTCACTAAAGAGTTTCAGTGAGAGCATTTCTAGTGGCAGTTATTATGTGCGCCGCGGATTGTCTAAGAAGCCTTTAGTGGCATTATTTTGGGTTTTTAGTGGCACATTTTGTGTGCCACTAAATGACATATTTTTTGTAGTGATATGAGTGCACATTTATTAATCAAGATAGAAAATTGGATTTAAGCACAGAAATAGTATCTACTTTTACACTCGTCTTAAAATTCTCCTATAAGTTATAATTGACCATGGAGCATTAATAATCTCAGGGGCTCTAAAAGTGAAGAGAATTTTAGCAGGTATCAAAGAAAATGACTATAATACCGCACCCATAAAAAGCGCCATCATCTAAATCATAAAAAGGCTAAGAGATCAAACCAAAAATTGGATATGAATTAAGCAATATGCATCAGCCACACATTTCAAAGCAAAAAGACGACACCATATCACAGGAGATAAATATAAATAATAGTTGTGCCCCTGATAATGAGAAGATAAACTGCAAAGTCCAAAATCACCACCAATGGTTCTCGACATATACAAAAATAAGAGAGGTAATAAGTCATGATGACTCATCTAAGAGATTAACATTCAAACATTCATGTGTGAAATACCACACCTCATCTGCAGGAAAAAACCTGCCATGTCCACCTCCATTCGGAACATCATATCTCGGGTAGTGTGACCAAGGCTCAGCCCACAACACTGGTTTCACAGCAGCACTATGACCCACTTGGCTCATATAGAAACCACGTTCGTCTCCTGTATCTTGAAAAGGCACCCATTCCATTTCACCAAAGTCTAGTTTATAACATTGATCTCATCTCTGAATAATCCTTCCATCAAAATCATGTAAAGGTTTTCACCACAACTTACAAGCTGCGGGGAAAATATGTTCAGATCATCCAGAAGATTGTTGGTTTCAAGTAACGTCACTCTAAGCTCAGGATTGAGTACGAGTTCACATAAATGACCGTTATTAGAGTTTAAAGTATATATCTTCCCCTTAAAAACATGTAAATCCTTATAAAAGTTGAAGTCAAAAGTGGATGAAACACAATTCCATGCTCCCTCATCCGCTATAGAGAACCATATTTGCTTCTGGGCTAAGATAACAAACACCAATTTAGATATTGAAGGTGAAAATACAAGAACAGACGCGACGCCTGATACATAATCAGACACCCAAGGGGCAGGAGGGAAAAAAAGTTCATGTCTAGTGATTAAATTCACAAGCCAGAAGTCCTTGGTTTTTATCCTGAACAAGATCAAGTAACCACAAGTAAATCCACAACAGTACATTCCAGCAGAATGCGTTAGTGTGGTTTTGAACTTTCTTCGTTCATGGTCCTCTAGGCAGCATTGCCAATCCTTATTAATACTATCAGAGATATTCATCAGCATTGGTGGTTTGGATGCCATAAAACTTTTCCTGTTACTGAGTGCTACTGATCTCCATGATTTGCAAACTCCACTGAATGCAACAAAATTGATGACTCCCAGTTGCATCATAACTAATAAAAGCAGATCATGGTTGAGATATGACCAAGGTCCCACATCATCAGTCTTGATAGTCTCACTGCTAGATGCATCATCATCATTCTGGTTTCTAGTCACTCTCCTTGTCATATCCATTCCTAAGCTTGCAATAGACAAAACAAATTGCACGTAATATTACAACACTTGTAAACAGTAAAAGAGAATAATAACGAAAATGAACAGGATCCGCATGTGATAACAAACACAAAATAATTACAAACTACATCATATACAATCTAATTACCGGTTTACTTCACAAAGAAAGAGTAGATCAGCTATTCAGCCACATGGTAAAAATGTTCCTTTATGAGCCAAACAAAGTTCTGACTACAGCGATATCTTTCTTTACCCTAAGGCTTTTTCCTATGTTTATGCTTCTTGTAATCCGGAGCAACAGTAACAAATTCAAACAAACCCTAAATCAATTAAAAGAAACACTACATCAATTATCCAACTATCATCAGCCATCATATATAATCAAAAAAACTTAAAGACCAAATGATGACATAATCAAAACATTTCAGGTAACATGAATACTTATCACAACAAACGAAACTCAAATTAGTAAACGGTTCAAAATGCATTTCATGAAACACATAAAGATAACCAAATCGTCTAAACTAACCTGAGTGACGCCCGATCAAATAAACTCCGATTTGAAAGAGAATCAAAAGATCGAGAGTGAGGGTGAGATAGCGTGGCAAAAGGGAATAGCGAATACCGCGTTTTGGGAATTTTGTCTTCGTTAAATTTTAAGCTAAGGAGTAAATTACATATTTGATCCGTATGGCTTTCCAAAATTCACAACTTTGGTCCTAGTATTGGACTTTGACCTGGTTTGTACTTCTGGTCCATAGTCCTAAAAAAAATCATGACAAAATTTCAAAAATGGTTCATGTGGTTTTTGAAAATATCAAGTTTAGTCCCTAAGTTCAAAAAACCTTACAGATCGTCCCTGTGGTTTCAAAACTTTTAACATTTGGTCCTTTCGGCTCACTCCGTTACCATTTAGCCGTTAAGTCAGGGACATTTTTGTCATTTCATTACCCAGGGACCATTTATGAGGTTTTCTATTACTTTTTTTTAAATAAATAAATAAATTTAATATGCAAGGGTCCCACCTCTCTCTCTCTCTCATATGTCCATTTTCGTCCTAGAAAATCTAGGGGCGGGTTGAGATCCAAATTATCTGTCTGTGGAAACCTCTGTAGAAACCGGTCCTTTTGATCCTTCTCGTCAATAAGATATCCAAAAACACCCCTGTTGTTTCTTGATCCATCAGTGCATCTCTTGAAGCCACAACTCCGGCGACAAGGCTTAACAGCCAAAATGGGAGCCACCGGAAAACTGACTCCCTCAATTTGTTCGCTCTTCCTGTCGAGCATCAACAGTCGAACACCCCCACTTGTTGTTGAACTGCTTTGCTCCTCCTTCCCTCGCTACCACTGTTGTCAGCATCAGATGAGATAAACCAAACACACATCAAGAGCTTGCTTTTGGTACGTATCTATCTATTTTTCTTGTTGAACATCCATGAGCATCATCATCATCATCATCATCGAACCCACCACCGAACACCATCCCCCCCTTCTCTTCCCCTTCGGAACCTCCGTGTACGACGATTTAGACACAAAATGCAATCTCTAATAACAAATTTAGATCCAGATGTAAGTATGGAGTCGGTGGATTTTAAACCCATATGAAATATTTGATCCTGGGTTCACTTTTTTCTATTTAGATTCGAGCAAATTGATTTAACTGTGGAGAAAGGTCATACGATGGTCCATAGCTAGAAATTACATATAGCTGGGTGATGGAGTGGCAGTGGTTTTCCATGGGAATACCAATCAAGGTACAAGCCATCTAAGCACCTCCAAATCTTGGGTTTTTAGTTTCCAAGTTTTGATTTTGGTTACCAGATATAAAATGAAGATGAAGTTGATGCTTTTGGTTATCTGGCATAAACGAGAGAGAGAGAGAGAGAGAGAGAGAGAGAGAGAGAGAGAGAGAGAGAGAGAGAGAGAGAGGTGGGACCCTTGCATATTAAATTTATTTATTTATTTAAAAAAAAGTAATAGAAAACCTCATAAATGGTCCCTGGGTAATGAAATGACAAAAATGCCCATGACTTAACGGCTAAATGGTAACGGAGTGAGCCGAAAGGACCAAATGTTAAAAGTTTTGAAACCACAGGGACGATCTGTGAGGTTTTTTGAACTTATGGACTAAACTTGATATTTTCAATAACCACAGGGACCATTTTTGAAGTTTTGTCAAAAATCATCTTATCCTTTTTAATATTTTTTATTATAAGCCATAAAAACTGTTTTTCCATTCCTTTTTTTTTTGTCTGGGACATTAATCGTTTTCATCGGTAGTCATACAATATCACTTACATTTTACTCTTCTGGTTCATTTAATTGCATGTATTAAGAGACTGACAAAATATCTTACCAAAATCAAAATTTAAAGCCCACCAAACCACACACACCTATCTCATATTATCTTCACGGAGAGGAGCCGGAAGGTACCTACCAAAAAGGAATGTAGAGGCAACAGGGGAATAAGTATTTGAATTATCTGGACACTTTCTTTTAAATTATTTCTCCCGTGAGTATCTGGTTCTCGACAAATCTACTCAATTGTAGTTACATTATTCATATAAAGTTGTTCATTTTTTTTTTCTATAGACAATGCATTTGGAGCAATATAGATTGAGTTGTTTATTATAGCATCCTATTTTGAAGTACATTGCTATTTTTTCTAAAGTTTTAATTGAAGTATAGTATTTGCAAAAATAAATAAATAAATAAATAAACTATCAGATGATTTTAGTTTTTATCTTATTTACTAAGAGATTGTATACTCTAATTTATAAAATAATAGTAATAGTAATAGATTAACACAAATGAAACCACACAAAAAATCTATTGAAGCTTTGTTATTCAATACCTTCTTTAAAACATCAGATGTCAAAGGAAAAAAAAAAAAAAAAAAAAAAGAATTGTTATCACCGACTTGGTAGCTTCTTGATTATGAGTGTGTATCAAAAAGCTATTTGTCATGTATAACTAAATTACATATAAAATGACCGTACCATCATGTTAAAAATGACATAGCAACAAAAACACTTGGCACAAAATCCTAAAGAAATCATCGTTTTAGATAAATGTATTGAAAGTGCAATATGATTTTGAATAAAATGATTTCGAAAACCATAAAAAGATGAAACTTTCAGTTATTCATATAGACAATCTCACCTGTGAAATCAAGACTAAGTAGTTAAACCATTCAGGCACCAATATCATAGGAGCAATATCATAATACTCGACACAAAATATTATGTTCTTCCCACAAATATAAACACTTCTTTCATATTTTTAAACCATTTAGACATCATATCATAATACTCAATAATCGCAAAATCCACAATATATAGCTCTTCTTAAATTTAACAGAAGCATTCAAATTTTAGACTTTAATCAAAAGTTATTATCTTGAAGTGACTGGCTTGCAACTGCATCAAGCTCCACCTACGTCCAGATAATTTGATAACAACCATAACTATGAGCAAGTTGGTACACATACTTATGCATGGAACTCGACGGACTTTTCTGTTTTCAAATCATAAACTCTATAAAAGAACATGTCAATTCAAATTTTAAGGACAAGTCGGCACATTTAAACACTATTAACGATGGTTACACAAGTAAGTAGACACTCCTTGATATGTCAAGACACAGCTATATGTTTGTGACCAAAATTCAAGAAATTAACAAATACTGCAAGATAGATTTGAGTCGAAGGACCACATACATTCAAGATGAGAGACAAAAGCATAGATGATTCAATAACAGACAACCTAACTCTCATGCATAAAAAGAGCATACATACAAAGCAAAATTAGGCCAAAAGTCTTAAAGCACTTAAAGTCCTCAACCAAGAACACAAAGAAACATCAAAATGATCAGGTTACACTAAAATTATTGTTAGTGATTGTCACCTAAAATCACTAACAGGTAGCTTGTCATACAAGGAAACTTTCTTGTTGCAAAATATAGCTGTTCAGCCTATTTCGGACTCTAATAAGCTATAACTGAACCACAATGAAAAAAACGAAATTCTAGAGAAGAGCCACGGTATCGATGGCATTCACCATGGTATGTTAATAATCTGTAGGATTTTCAACAGGTATCAGAAAAAAGGACTATAACACCCCCTCCATAAAAAGGCACCATCATCTCAATCATAAAAAGGCTAAAAGATAAAACTAAAAATTTGATATGAATTAAACCAGATGCATTAGCCACATGAATGTGCACTTGATAACAAAAACATAAATTGAAAAAACCAAATTCATCAACAACTGTTCTCAACATATTGAAAAATAAGAGTGGTATAAAGTCATGATGATTCATCTAAGAGATTAGCATTCAAACATTCATGCGGGAAATACCACCCCTCACTTTCAGGAAAATATCTACCATGCCCATCTCCATTACCAACATCATATCTTGGGTAGTGTGACCAAGGGTCAGCCCACAACTCTGGTTTTACAGCATCAACATGATCAAAAGCGTAGCTCAGAAAGAAACCATGTTCCTCTCCTGTATCTTGAAAAGGCACCCATTCCATTTCACCAAAGTCTAGTTTATAAACATTGATCACATCATCATATATTGAGCGATCCATCATATAAAGGTTTTCACCACAACTTCCAAGGCCAAGCTGCGGGAAAAATAGAACCTTATCTAACACAAGATGCTTGGTTTTCAGTAACGTCACTTTTGGCTCAGGATTGAGTGTGAGTTCACATAAATGATAATTATGAGAGTGTAAAGTATATATCTTCCCCTTAAAAGCATGTAAATCCTTATAAAACTTTAAGTGGAAAGTTGAGACACGATTCCATGCTCCCTCATCCGCTATAGAAAACCATATTTGCTTCTTGACTAACATAACAAACACCAATTTAGATATTGAAGGTGAAAATACAAGGATAAACGAGCAGACTGGTTCAGAAGAACACACCCAAGGGGCAGGAGGGAAATGAAGCTCATGTCTAGTGATAAGATTCACAAGCCAAAAGTCCTTGGTTTCCTCCCTGATCAAGACCAAATAACCACAACTTAATCCAAGATAACACATTCCAGCAGAATGCGTTAGTGTGGTTTTGAACTTTCTTCATTCATGGTCCTCTAGGCAGCATTGCCAATCCTTATTTTCAAAACTATCAAAGATATTCATCAGCATTGGTGGTTTGGAAACCATAAATCTTTTCCAGTTACCGAGTGCTACTGATCTCCATAACTTGCAAACTCCACTGAATGCAACAAAATCAACAACTCCTAGTTTCATCATAACTAACAAAAGCACATCATGGTTGAGATATGACCAAGGTCCCACATCATCAGTTTTGATAGTCATACTGCTAGATGCATCATCATAACTCATGATTATGGTTTCTACTCAGTCTCTTTGTCGTAGGCACTCCTACACTTGCAAAAGACAAAACAAACATTGTTGGTAAATGAAAAATTCCACATAATCATACAAGACTAGTAAACAGAAAAAAGAATAAGAACAAGCAGAGGGATAAACAGTATACAATCTGATTAGCTGTTCTACAAGATATGAATGCTCTTAACAAAGAAAGGGTATATCAGCCTCATGGTAAAAATGTTTGTTTATGAACCAACAAAAAATGTTATGTCGATGCCTTCTTGTAATCAGAACCTCATGAAGCTAACACATCAAATTCAAACAAACCCTAAATAATCGATACACTTAAAGAAACAATACATCAATTATCCAACAATCATAACACATATTGATCAACAAAGCTTAAAAACCAAATAATCATAGAATCAAACAATTCAAGTAAGATACAGAATGTATTTCATGAAACATAAAAGGTAATCAAATCAACTAAACCAACCTAAGTGACGTTTCCCAATCAAATGAACTCCGATTTGCGTGATAAAGGAAACAGAGAGTCTCTTTCGAAAACAAAGGGAAACAGCGAATGAACCGAGCGAATGCTTTGGGGTTTGTGCCAGGATGTTTTTGTAGGCGAATTTTGACTTGGTATATTATACTAAGGAGTAAATTACACATTTAGTCCCTATGGTTTTCCCTAATTCATAACTTCGTTCCTTATATTGGACTTTGACTTGTCTGGTCCTTGTGGTTTGTATTTGCTGCATTTGTGGTCCCTAGTCCATAGACTTGGCAACCGGGTCGGGTTCGTATGGTGTGAAAACAGTAAACGGGTTGAAATAGCTTGACCCTAACCCAACCCGTTTAATTAACGCGTCGTGTCGTGTCAATCAATTTATTTTTGTGTCGAGTTCGTGTCGAGTTTCAGGTTAGGGGTATACCTTAAAATATGTCGTGGAATGTGAGGTTGAAACATTGAACATGTTGAAAGATATGATTTGGATATGTGGAAAGGAAATGTAATAGTTAGGAGGCGGAATAGTTAAATTTATAGTAAATTTAGAGAGTAAAAATGAATGCATATGAGTTGGAATGAGAAGGGAGGGATAACGAGGACGAGAGAATGGTTGAGAGGATTTTGTAATTTGGGTGATAATAAAGAAAACTAGAAAAAAAAGTCTTGACTTAGATGGCTAAGTTTAATCCATGTTACAAAACAAGTCGGCCAAAGTTGTTTTTTTTTTTTTTTTTTTTTTTTTTTTTTTTTACGTATTGTTTTGGGTTTTGGTCTTTCTAGTTTATTTACAACATTCAAAAAACTTACATATAAACGGATCATTTTCAAGTCATATTCGGGTTGAAATTCTCAACCGTAACTCTATCTGATTTTGTGTCGTGTTGTGTCAACCCGTTTAATTAAACGGGTAGAAATATCTTACCCGAACCCGTTTATTTCATGTCAGGTTTCGTGTCGTATTAGTTTTTGCCACCTCTACTAGTTCATATGAAAAGATCATCTTACCCTTTTTAATATTTTGTTTCTTTTTCCTTTTACCCATTTACATATTCTAATAATAAAAAAAGAGAAATCAAATATTATTTTACTTTTTTTTCCTACTTATCCTCATACTCACCACATCAAGACAATAAAACAAGTTAAGATATTAAGCAAAACTATTAGTAGATTTCACATGTCATTATTTTATATGAGTAGTAGGAAAATATTTAATTTTTCATAAAAAAAATAGAAAAACCCACCCCACCTCGGAAAAAAAAAAAAAAAAAAACTCATCAGCTTTATCTCGTTTCCTTGCTATCGGGTCTTTGACAAACAAAAACCTCGCTCATCACTAACGCGCACGAGAGAGAGAGAGAGAGAGAGAGAGAGAGAGAGAGAGAGAGAGAACCGGCAACCAAAGACCATGCTCGTTGAGGGCAAGCAAAATGACTAACATTTGGAATGAATTCGAGGCAAACTTTAACTTCCCCATAAAATTCATCATTTATCACCATATTGTGTGGTGTTGGTGAGATATTTGCTTCCATGAATAATGTATCTCAAGTGTAATTATGCATTCATAACTAACATCAAAGCTAAAGGCATGCAAAATGTTTTTATTATGTAATTAGCCTAGTTCACAAGATCATATTTAGAACCAATATCACTGTTCTTTTATCTTGTTCATGTTGTGTAATACAAAACACAAGTTCAAAGAGACTTGTTATGTTATGTCTAAGCATGTATCCCATACCAATTGCTACCTTACATCTTTGTTTGGTATAATTTTAAAGGTGTCTTCAAGAGATAAATGATCTTAACAAAGAAAGGCTATATTAGCCTCATGGTAAAAATGTTCGTTTATGAACTAACAAAAAACATTATGTTGATGCCTTAATTTTTTTTAAACGACTGTACATTTTATAGACACACTCTAGCGAATTGCTAGAGAGAAAAACAAAACAAAAAAAAGAGTACATTTACAACGGGCAAATCATCCAAGCATTCCAATTTATATAAGAATTGGAAGCTCAGTTATACAACCAAGAAAAAGAATAAAGAATAATAGAATAAAAAATGGAGTTCTTGCTGATTCGAATTGTATCTCCTTAAAAAACTTGCGAGTTACGATGTCTCCAAACCATCCATGTAGTAGTAGCCCCAATAACCTTCAATTTAACATTTGGCAAAGCCATCATATGTCAATGCCTTCTTGTAGTCAGAATCTTACATGATCGTTTATGAACTAACAAAAAACATTATGTCGACTTCGTCTACCCTTAAGGATTACGACGATGTTCTTCTTATTTTGGTGAAAAAAATAAAGGGTTCTTATAATTTTTATAATCAACAGTAAAAGAGATTAAGAAGCAAAAGAAAAATTGTTGAGTTAAATGCAAGAAATCCTATAATTTTTGTTTTTTTTATGTTAAAAGAAACCACAAGTTTTTATCATTGATAAACGACAAAATTGCAAATGTGGTCCTTGTGGTTTGTCAAAAGTTGTTAGTTTTGTCCAAAAAGTTTTGGATTAGCACCACTAGTCTAAAAAATAACTTTTGTTGCGGTTATGGTCCAAATTTTTCTTAAAAGAAAATAAAATGACGATTATGCTCTTGATATTTTATTTTTTTTATTTCTTTTATTTACTTTTCAACTTTTCTAATTAAAAAAACAATAAAAATTATATCTACCCTCTCCTACTAACCCACCCAACCCCTTCACTCTTTAATAAAGCGACCACATTGCCTCCTGTCACCGTCACCGCCACATGTGGGACCATCACTACCCGTCGGACCACCACCATCTTGCCGGAACTTCCATTTTCACTAGAGCACCACCATCTCGACGTCGTAACCAGGAAGTTGGTGACGAAGGAGGTTTGACGATATAGATTTTGTAACATCCCATATATTAAATAAATAAATAGATAATGGTTAATATGAATAATAATCCTAAAGTAAATAATATTTAGCGGGGTGTTGGTGTTGGGGAGCCAATTGATACAATTTTAGAAGTTGGTAAATTATTGAGACTTAATTTGAAAAGATTTGTGAGGCACAGGGGCTGAATGGTAAGTTATGGATTTATTATGAAAAGAATTATAGAAGTAAGGGCTAAAAGGTAAATTTCGGATTTAAAATAAAGAGATTGTGAATGGGAGGGACGGGTTCTGCTATTTCGCTATCAAGTTTGTGTGGAGCGGGTTTTAGTATCATGCCTTCCATTCCCGTGTGATATAGCGCCATTAAACAAACCCTAACCCTAAGGACTAACCAGCCGCCACCACCTTGGAAGTGTTCTTTAGCCGTCGCCCCTTCTGTGACCCAGCACCACCCTACTGCTGCAGCCTTGCCATCGGCCGTCGTCATTGCAACACCTACTGCCGGAGACGTGAAGGAAGCCGGAGGAGCCACCGAGAACGCCACCATAATGCCGGAAACGCTGTGGCGGTCGAAGAAACCACCGGGACCGAGTGTTGAAGCCTTGATTTGTCGCTGTGTTGTGCATGTGCGAATGGGAAGCTGCCCGTAAGTCAAAACGCCACCACCTCCTCCCGTTTTTGTTATTGTTGTGTATGCGACACTGTTTGGGGTCGCCGGTGGCCTTGGGTCACCGTTCTTGTGCTTCCGTTCGTCACCTGCCACCTGAAGTGGCTGAGTTGAGTGTACTTCGGTGTTCAGCTCCTGTTTACGAGCGTGTGTGTGTGTGTTTGCTCAACTGGGGACCAAGAGAATCGACCACCACCGTAAGGTGGTGGCTGTCGCTCCCTACCACCGTCTGCCACCGTGTGGGTGGCTGTGTGTTTGTGTTTATTGTGTATTTTGGGTGTGTAATGGCCGTACTATGTTGTTTGAGCGATGTTTTGGTCGGAAAAGTAACCACCACCATTGGAAATGGTGCCTGCTGCCATGAGCTACCGCCGACCACCACCGCCCACCACCGCCTGGGGTGGCGGTGGGTAGTGCCCGATCTAGTAGAACCCTAATGGGCCTAAACACTTAATCTTGGACTGAGCTGCTTTGTGATTAGGTTAGAAAACCTTAATTTTGGGTTTGTTAGTTTGGAATTTACCGGGACCCGCAGTTTGTGACATCCCCATTTTCACGGCCAGAAAAGACCGATTTTTGTTTATGCTTTGTTTAAAAATCAGAGTAATAATTTAAAGAAAAGTGTTGCAGAATTTGTTCCCAAAAACAAAATATGATAA